CCTCTGCCTCAGGCAGGTGGGCCAGAATCCCTGAGCCCAGTGTCCATTTCTTTCTCTGGCCACCTCAGCCCCCGACAGCCCACCAAGCCACTCCCTTTTATATAAACCCTGTTTTTGTCTTTGGTGGATGCAATCAGTCTGTGATTGATCTTCCTTATGTAAAACTTCATTCATTCATTCATTCATTCATTCATTCATTCAGGGAGCAGCCCTGTACCAGCCCCTTCTAGGTCCTGGGGATAGAGAAATGAGGAAGACACAGCCCGTCTCCTTGGGGAGCTTAGGGCCTCCGTCAGCCAGTGTGGGCGGGGTCTGCTGCCCTCCACGTTGCCTCACAGGCCCTCTGTGATCTCCCTCCCAGCCCCAGAGCCTCTCAAGCTGGACCCTGCCACTGCCCACCCACTCCTGGAGCTCTCCAAGGGCAACACGGTGGTGCAGTGTGGGCTCCTGGCCCAGCGGCGCGCCAGCCAGCCTGAGCGCTTCGACTACAGCACCTGCGTCCTGGCCAGCCGCGGCTTCTCCTGCGGCCGCCACTACTGGGAGGTGGTGGTGGGCAGCAAGAGCGACTGGCGCCTGGGGGTCATCAAGGGCACAGCCAGCCGGAAGGGCAAGCTGAACAGGTCCCCTGAGCACGGTGTGTGGCTGATCGGTCTGAAGGAGGGCCGGGTGTACGAAGCCTTTGCCTGCCCCCGGGTGCCCCTGCCCGTGGCCGGCCACCCCCACCGCATTGGGCTCTACCTGCATTACGAGCAGGGTGAGCTCACCTTCTTCGACGCTGACCGTCCCGATGACCTGCGGCCGCTCTACACCTTCCAGGCCGATTTCCAGGGCAAGCTCTACCCCATCCTGGACACCTGCTGGCACGAGAGGGGCAGCAACTCGCTGCCCATGGTGCTGTCCCCGCCCAGTGGGCCTGGCCACCTCAGCCCTGAGCAGCCCACCAAGCTGTAGGGCCACCCAGGGTCCTGCCAGCCCACAGGCCCATCCCCACAGGGCACCAGGGACTCACAAGCTTCTGCTGGGTCCCAAGGTGATATCTTCACTGTTTAGGAAGGTCTTCAGGCCTGTGTGTCCCTGGAACATGTAATGATAGGGAACAGGACCCCATTCCCTTTGCCATCAGCCAGGGGTGTATTTGTAAACGTCGGCCCCCAGGCCTTGGCAGCCTCGGAACACACAGAGCTCCCCATGGTCCCTGCTAACCACGCTGTCTGCGCAGACGCTTCCAACTGAGGGCAGAAATAGTCCCATGTATACTTTTTCCTTATTACTGTGAACTTTCAACTACTATCAAGGATAATAAATTTGACATTATTTCTTTCAATGATTTGCAAATATTAGTTGCTGTACATACATATTGCTTTATGTTTCAGTCTTTTTTTTTTTTTGAGATGGAGTCTCGCTCTGTCACCCAGGCTGGAGTGCAGTGGCATGATCTCCGCTCACTGCAACCTCCACCTCCCAGGTTCAAGTGATTCTCCTGCCTCAGCCTCCTGAGTAGCTGGGATGACAGGCATGCACCTCACACCCAGCTAATTTTTGTATTTTTAGTAGAGATGGGGTTTCGCCGTGTTGGCCAGGCTGGTCTCAAACTCCTGACCTCAAATGATTCACCTGCCTTGGCCTCCCAAAGTGCTGGGATTACAGGTGTGAGCCACCATGCCCAGCCTCAAGTCTTTAGTTTTAGAGACAGGATCTCGCTCTGTCACCCAGGCTGGAGAGCAGTGGTGCAATCATAGCTCACTGCAGCCTGGGCTTGAACCTCCTGGGCTCAAGCGATCCTCCTGCCTCAGCCTCCTGAGTAGCTGGGACAACAAATGTCTGCCACCATGCCCAGCTAATACATTTTTAGTAGAGACGAGATCTTGCTATGTTACCCAGGCTGGTCTGGGCTTCAAGCAATCCTCCCACCTTGGCCTCCCAAAGGGCTGGGATTACAGGTGTGAGCCACTGGGCCCAGCCTCCCATATCCCTTTGACTCCCCATACGACAGGCTAAGTGGGTTCTGGAAGCTCCAGGGTAGCCGTGTAACCAAGATGCTGGCTCTGGCCACTGGAAGTCAAACTGGGTGCACAGACCAGTAAGAGGGCCTGAGAGAGCCTAGCGGGGGCAAACAGCAGCCCTTAGCCTCCCACGTCCCTGACTCTCCTCCTGCCTCTCCTTGGTCTCCTTCGAGGATTCAGTCTCTCCTCCTCGCTACTCGTGGTCTGAGGGTCTCCAGGCTCCTCTTCCGGCTGTCTACACCTCCACACCCACGGCTCCAGTCATCACTTCCACAGGGATGACTCAGAAGTTCCCTCTCCAGGAGACCCGTCTCTTACATGCCACATCCACTAGAGCGCCAGTCATTCAGCTCCACCTGGACGTCAAGGGCATGTCCCAAACTGCGCTCATGATCTTCCTATTCCCCCATCCCTGAGATTTATCCTGTGGCTGTGGTGTCCTGTGGCTAGTGTAACAAATAACCACAAACTTGGTGACTTCAAACAACAGAAATTTAATCTCTCATGGTTTCGAAGACCAGACATCCAAGATCACGATGATGGCAAGGCCGCGCTCCCTCTGGAGACTGTGGTGGAAAACCTGCCCCTTTCCTCTTCAGCTTCAGGTGGTGGCTGCCACGCCCTGGTGTTTCCTGGCCTGTGGCTGCATCATTCCGATCTCTCCCTCTGTCTTCATGCGGCCTTTTCTGTATATGTCAGTCCAATCTTCCTCTGCTTCTCTCGTTTGTGTTTTTTTTGAGACAGAGTCTTGCTCTTGTCATCCAGGCTGGAGTGCAATGTCGCGCTCTCGGCTCACTGCAACTTCCGCCTCCCGGGTTCAAGCAATTCCCTTGCCTCAGCCCCCTGAGTAGCTGGGATTACAGGCATGCACCACCACACCCAGCAAATTTTTGTATTTTTAGTAGAGATGGGGTTTCACCATATTGGCCAGGCTGGTTGCGAACTCCTGGGCTCAGGGGATCCGCCAACCTCGGCTTCCCAAAGTGCTGGGATTGCAGGTGTGAGCCACTGCCCATGGCCTTTCTCTGCCTCTCTCTTGTAGGGATACTTGTGATGCCACGTAGGGTCTGCCCAGATAATCCAGGATAACCTTCTCTCCAAATCCTTCTCCTGATCACTCCTACAGATCTCTTCCGTAGAAGGTGACATTTCCAGGCTCTAGGAATTAGGACCTGCTCTCTCTGGGTGGCCATTGTCCACTCCACCACCCTGGGTTTCCCCATCCTACCAAAAGACACAGCATCACTGTGTCAACTGCCCAAACCAAAAACCTATGAGTTACTCTTGACCTGTCCTTTTTCCTGAGCGAGTTCTGGGGATTTAACTTAGTGGTCGCACTGCCAACTTCACCTTAACTCCACTGCTACCAACTCAGTGCAGGCTACCAGTTCTTGCTTTAGGTGACTGCCATGACCCCCATTGGTCTCTCCCTTCCTCAACTCTGCTCCCTCTATCCTATATCCCCACACTGTAGTCAGACTGATTATTTATTTATGTATGTATGTATTTATTTATTGGAGAAAGAATCTTGCTGTATCCCCCAGGCTGGAGTGCAGTGGCACAGTCTCAGCTTACTGCAACCTCCGCCTCCCAGGTTCAAACGATTCTCCTGCTTCAGCCTCCCGAGTAGCTGAGATTACAGGTGTCTGCCACCATGCCTGGCTAATCTTTGTATTTTTAGTAGAGACCGGGTTTTGTCATGTTGGCCAGGCTGGTCTCGAACTCCTGACCTCAAATGATCCACCTGCCTTGGCCTCCCAAAGTGCTAGAATTACAGGTGTGAGCTGCTGCACCTGGCCAGACTGATCTTTTAAAGAAGTGTATGTGAGCACAGCACTCCATGACTTAAAATCCTTAAGAGGACTACCATTCCTCTCAAGATAAAAGAACAAAATCCTTGTTGGGCACAGTGGCTCATGCCTGTAATTACTGCTTTGGGAAGCCAAGGTGGGAAGATCGCTTGAGGCCAGGAGTTCAAGACCATCCACAGGCAACATGGTGAGACCCCCATCTCTACAAAAGATAAAATTAGCTGGGTGTGGTGGTGCACACCTGTAGTCCCAGCTACTTGGAGGGTAAAGTGGGAGGATCGCTTGAGCCCTAGAATTCAAGCCTGCAGTGAGCTATGATGGTGCCACTGCACTCCAGCCTGGGTGACAGAGTGAGACCTCATCAAAAACAAAAACAAAAACAAACCATTATTGTGGCTTTGAGGCCTGGATCATACCTACATCACTTACTGTATTTGACCAAACTGGCCCATTTCAGGTACCCAAATACCCCATGTGCTTTCTTGCTTGGCTCTGGGACTAATGTGGTCACTGGTGCAGGGTGAGTGGCAGGTATTGTAAACATTGTGGACCTGGAGTTGCTAGGACCTTCTCTGCCATTGCACAGAAAAAGCCTCCCTGAGAACACAGCCATTGGAGGACACATGGCAGAGGAAGATAAGACAATACACAGAGACACATAATTACGGCCAGCGTGGGGGACTCACCCCTGTAACCCCAGAACTTTGGGAGGCCGAGGCGGGCAGATCACCTAAGGTCGGGAGTTCGAGGCCAGCCTGGCCAACATGTGAAACCCCGTCTCTACTAAAAATTGAAAAATTAGCCGGGCGTGGTGGCGGGCACCTGTAGTCCCAGTTACTGGGGAAGCTGAGGCAGGAGAATGGCGTGAACCCGGAAGGCGGACGTTGCAGTGAGCCGAGATCACGACACTGTGCGACAGAGTGAGACTCTTTATCTCAAAAAAAATTTATACATATATATATAATGACCAATACACATGTGAAGATATTCAACCTCAATAACTGCAGTTAAACAGCAGTAAAATCCTATTGTTTGCCCATCAGATTGGCGAAGACTGAAGAACTAGAGAAGAAATGGCCAAACGGGCTCGCAGAGTCGCACTCCCCACCCCAGCAGGTGCGCGATCACACACACTCCTTGCAGGGGGACTTCGACCGGAACTTCCGGTCCCGAAAGGTCGTGCTCTTTGACCCCGGAAGTTCGGGCGTGCGCAGAGCCGGGAGCGCTTTGCGACAGAGCCGTAAAGGCGCGCGGGAACATGGGGCTGTACGCTGTCGCGGCAGACGTGCTGGCAGGCGTGGAGAACCGCCAGGGCTCCATCAAGGGGCTGGTGTACTCCAGCAACTTCCAGGTAGCGGGCCCGGGCGCGAGAAGTAGGGGTGTGGGGTGAGGAACCCGGGGTGGGGTGAGACGGGCCCCGGTGGGGTTGGGAGGTGGGGCCCGGCGAGGAGGGCCGGCGGAGACCCGGTCCCAGCCTGTCTCCCTCGGCCTTACAGAACGTGAAGCAGCTGTACGCGCTGGTGTGCGAAACGCAGCGCTACTCCGCCGTGCTGGATGCCGTAATCGCCAGCGCCGGCCTCCTCCGTGCGGAGAAGAAGCTGCGGCCGCACCTGGCCAAGGCGAGCGGAGGGGCGGGGCGGGGAAGTGAACCCCGACGGTGTGCGCTTTGTCATCTGGTCTTAGCTCTGCTGCCGTGCACGGCGGGACTGGAGCAAGTCGCTCATCTGAAATGAGTATGAGCAGACCTTCCCTGGGTAGCGAATTGAGATGGGATGAAAATGCTTAAACTTAGAGTGTTTTGAAGAATTAAATAACCGAAGTACAAAGTAGTAGTGGCGGAGACTGTAAGGAAGTCGGGCGTGGCGGCGCGCACCTGTGGTCCCAGCTAGTCGGGAAGCTGAGAGGGGAGGATCACTTGAGCCCAGGAGTTCGAAGCTGCAGTGAGCTATGATCTGGCCACTGCACTTCAGCCTGGGCTACAGAGCTAGACCCCAATTATTAAAACCCCAAACCCAAGAAAGGGTAATGTTGGCAAGAAGTTGGGTGCAGAGGTCTACTGGTGAACATCTGTGGGGAAAGGGTCTAAGGCTGGGAAGCAAGATGCCAGGTTCTGATCCTGTTCTGTAGTTAATTTCTGGTGTGATCTTGGGTGAGGTACCCCACCTTTATCTGCCAGGTGATGTTTAGCCATTCCAGTGCCGGGGCTCTGTTAGAGTTAGTTCTAAGGCATTTATGCGTCATGCTTAGGGCTTTTTTGTTTTCGTGTTTGTGTCCTCATCCCCAGGTGCTAGTGTATGAGTTGTTGTTGGGAAAGGGCTTTCGAGGTGGTGGGGGCCGATGGAAGGCTCTATTGAGCCGGCACCAGGCGAGGCTCAAGGCTGAGTTGGCTCGGCTTAAGGTTCATCGGGGTGTGAGCCGGAATGAGGACCTGTTGGAAGTGGGATCCAGGCCTGGTCCAGGTGAGCTGGAAGGAGTTGGGGGTGGGAGAGGCGGGGGACTTTGCTTCTGTCTACTCACTGCTCATTGCGTCCTAGTCTCCCAGCTGCCTCGATTTGTGCGTGTGAATACTCTCAAGACCTGCTCCAATGATGTAGTTGATTATTTCAAGAGGCAAGGTTTCTCCTATCAGGGTCGGGCTTCCAGGTGAGAGCTTAGAGCCCTGACTGTCCTCATCTAGGGAGGTGGGGTAGTGGGAAGAGAAGTGGCTGGATAGTTGTGACTTTGCTCTCTGGGCTTTCTTCCTATCTTTCCAGCAGTTTCTCCATCTTCAAGGTTTGTCTTCCTCCCATCCCTTAAACATCGAACTCCTAGGAGTCCCATCCTACATTCTTTCTGGATCTCTACATTTTTTTCTCTAGCTTTAACTCCTGCCTCCGACCTGGTGATTTTCACCGCCCAGAGTAGACTTCCCTCCCTCCTCAGGTTCATACGAATGCACTACAGATGCCACAGTCGTTGCATTCGCCATCTCTCCTCTCAAACTTTACACTTAGTGCATCCCCAGTTTAATCTAACAGATGTCACTATCTTCCACCCATTTGATCAAGCCAGAAACTGAGTCATCCTAGGTGCTTCCTTCCCCTCCCTCCAATCATTTACTCCCCCACCTTCAGCATCTTTCTCAGCTCCACTCCTTTCTCTCTTTTTTTAAGACTGAGTCTCACTCTGTCACCCAGGCTGGAGTGCAGTGGCATGATCTTGGCTCACTGCCTCCCAGGTTCAAGCGAAGCTCCTGCCTCAGCCTCCCAAGTAGCTGGGATTAGAGGCTCCCACCACCATGCCCAGCTAATTTTTGTATTTTTAGTAGAGATGAGGTTTCACCATGTTGGCCAGGCTGGTCTCAAACTCCTGAACTCAGGTGATCTGCCCACCTCGGCCTCCCAAAGTGCTGGGATTACAGGCGTGAGCCACCGCACCTGGCCTCTACTCCTTTCTCTTCATCCCCTTGGACACTGCCTAGGTTAAGCACTCATTTCTTATTGGGATGACCACAAGAACTTCCCAGACTGGTCCCTCTGCTTCCAGACTGTCTCACTGCATTTTCCTCCTTGAGGTTGACTGTAGGAAGCTCTAAAGGCAGATCTGATGCTGTTGCTCCCCTTCTAAGCCCTTTCTTTTCTGAGACGGAGTTTCGCTCTTGTTGCCCAGGCTAGAGTGCAATGGCACTGTCTCAGCTCACTGCAACCTCTGCCTCCCAGGTTCAAGCAATTCTCCTGCCTCAGCCTACTGAGTAGCTGGGATTACAGGGGTGCAGCACCATGCCTGGCTAATTTTGTATTTTTAGTAGAGACGGGGGTTTCTCCATGTTGGTCAGGCTGGTCTCAAACTCCTGACTTCAGGTGATCCGCCTGCCTGGGCCTCCCAAAGTGCTAGGATTACAGGCGTGAGCCACTGCGCCCGGCCATGCTAAGCCCTTTCTTGGCTTCATTGTGCTGTCCCTCCTGCCTTCTCTCCAGGTCCATCTGCCACGGTGCTGTGTGCACCAGTGTGCCAGCAACAGTGGCTGGTCCCTGTCCCATGCCACTAGCACTGGGCTCACACCTGTCTCATTTTGTCCTTTGGTGGCTCTGAGAGCAGCCTCTGCCCCTCTTCCTTTCCCCTACTCTTTGTAAGATCCTTTCTTCTGCCTCTACCATGTTGCTTGGACACCAGGCTGGAATAGCAGAGAACAGCTGCTTGCGTTTGAATTCCAGCTCTATCGCTTTGATAGATTTCTGAACTGAGACATGTGGCTCTCTAGGCCCATTTCAGCATGGATCGGGTAGAGTGGGCGGTCCTCCTTTTTTTTTTTTTTTTTGAGACGGAGTCTCGCTCTGTCGCCCAGGCTGGAGTGCAGTGGCCGGATCTCAGCTCACTGCAAGCTCCGCCTCCCGGGCTTACGCCATTCTCCTGCCTCAGCCTCCCGAGTAGCTGGGACTACAGGCGCCCGCCACCTCACCCGGCTAGTTTTTTGTATATATATATATATTTTTTTGGTCCTCCTTTACTGAGTTACAGTGAATGGAGTTTTAACCTAAGCGCCTCACACTCCTCATCCATCAGGAATGAGCTCGGCTCTCACCTCCCTGCATCCCCTCACCCCCCGTAAAGTAACCTTTCTCGAAGGTTATGCTTCAACAGGAATAGCTAATATTTATTAATTTGGGCCAAGTAAGTATCTTGGATATATTGGCTCATTGAATCCTCACACCTACTATTTTACAGAGATGCCGGTGGGCCTTGAGATTGAATCACTTGCCCAGGCTGCCACTGCTGGTAAACAGGGGAGGGGGCTCCTGAGCCATCAGTCTGGCTTGACAACTCATTCCCTGAACTGCGGATTCCATAGGATTCCGCAGCCTCTAGCTTATCACCCTGTTGATTTCTCTGTAGCTGGGGTAACATTTGTTGCATGTTGAAATGGGGCCTGGCAGGGAGAAATTCGAGAAATGATGAATGGTTCTTCTTCCCTGGCAGCCTCGACGACTTACGAGCCCTCAAGGGGAAGCATTTTCTCCTGGACCCCTTGATGGCGGAGCTGCTGGTATTTCCCGCCCAGACAGATCTGCATGAACACCCACTGTACCGGGCCGGACACCTCATTCTGCAGGACAGGGTAAGCAAGAGGAACAGAAAGGAGAAGAATGTGTAGGCGTGGGAAGGGCCTAGCCTGGGATCTCTCTTCAGCCGGCCCCTGTGCTCTGCCCGCCAGGCAAGCTGTCTCCCAGCCATGTTGCTGAACCCTCCGCCAGGTTCCCATGTCATTGATGCCTGTGCCGCCCCAGGAAATAAGACCAGTCACTTGGCTGCTCTTCTGAAGAACCAAGGGTGAGTGCCACGGTCAGGAGCTGGGAGGAGGACGTGGGGTTTGATTCTGTGCCTTTCAGTGGGTAATGAAGGCTGAAAGGATGGCGTCCGCTTACTCTTTCCTGCTGCACCAAAGCAGTTCATGGTATTTGGCCCAAGCTAAGCTTCCCCCACTGCAGGTGTGAGATGTGGATCCCTTAGCCCTTGGGGCAGAGACCCCAGGCCAGTTACCTCTGACCCTGGGCCCTTTAAATGTAGGCCATTTCGATATTGTGTGTCCTAGCTTAACCTGCACATTCTGGCTGGCTGTGACAGGCCCTTAGCTGCTCCACGCGTGCTCAGCTCACCCCTGCTTTGCCCTCTGCCCTAGGAAGATCTTTGCCTTTGACTTGGATGCCAAGCGGCTGGCATCAATGGCCACGCTGCTGGCCCGGGCTGGCATCTCCTGCTGTGAGCTGGCTGAGGAGGACTTCCTGGCGGTCTCCCCCTCAGACCCACGCTACCGTGAGGTCCACTACATCCTGCTGGATCCTTCCTGCAGTGGCTCAGGTGAGATGGGGAGAAAGCGTGACCGAGGGACTTGTAGGTCCACAGCAGCCTAGACCCAGAGTCATCATTTGTTTTGGTCTTGGTTCTGACACTTTAATGGGCTGGGGACCCTGTGGCAAAAGTTCTCTGTGAAGTGAGGATTTCAGGACTGAGGCAGCCTACGAAGCTGTGTAACCGAGACACGCCTTTCCTTAGGTATGCCGAGCAGACAGCTGGAGGAGCCCGGGGCAGGCACACCTAGCCCGGCGCGTCTGCATGCCCTGGCGGGGTTCCAGCAGCGAGCCCTGTGCCACGCGCTCACTTTCCCTTCCCTGAAGCGGCTCGTCTACTCTACGTGCTCCCTCTGCCAGGAGGAGAATGAAGACGTGGTGCGAGATGCGCTGCAGCAGAACCCTGGTGCCTTCAGGTACGGGGCGTGCGCCAGGGTCGTGGGAGGGGGGACAGGGGTGAGCTGCTCTCTTACCCAGCACTGGGGCTATTTCCCTCACAGGCTAGCTCCTGCCCTGCCTGCCTGGCCCCACCGAGGCCTGAGCACGTTCCCGGATGCCGAGCACTGCCTCCGGGCCTCCCCTGAGACCACGCTCAGCGGTGGCTTCTTCGTTGCCGTAATTGAACGGGTCGAGGCGCCGAGGTGAGTGAGTGGGAGCATGCTTGGGAGATGCAGGATGGCACTGGCACATCTGACATCTACACTTCTCTAGTTCAGCCTCACAGGCTAAAGCATCAGCACCAGAATGCACACCCAGCCCAGCCCCAAAGAGAAAGAAGAGACAGCAAAAAGCCGGAGCCGGTGCTTGCACGCCGCCTTGCACATAGCAGAGGCTTCGGGCTGACTCCTTCCTGGTAGGAAAGGAAGACGCCTGTCCTCTCCGTGGAGGACCCTGGGCCCTCACCGCATGCAGTAATTTGGGTTTTGAAAGGTTATTGGGTCCTTTCCTTGGGCTGTGTTCTTGCTGGTGAGAAAACTGCCTGCAGAAATAAAATGCAGAACGTACTCTATGGTAGATCACAGTTTTTTATTCTTAATGACATAAGCAGGAGAAAAATCTCACATTCATACTAAAAATTCCAACTAGACTCAACAGGAATGAAGTCTCTATTTGTAATGGAAAGTCCCAGCCTCCCGCTCCTGTCCAGTGCGCGTACTGTACACATCCACACTCACACTCACTCAGGGTTCCCGGACCGGCTGTCCTGCCTGCGGAACTGAGGTAACTAGCTCAGGTACTGACACTAGGAGGGTCTACCTTACGTAAGGTACAGGTAGAAGCTTGATTTCTAGGCCCAGGCCCGGGCCCACCCCGACCCTCCAATCCTAACAGGTATTTAGGCTTGAGGTTCACTCCCTCCTCAGCTGCACACACCGCCGGGTATGAACAAGGATCAGAGCTGTTCTGAGGGGTGGGAAGGAGCAGCCCCGCCACCGAACACTCACCCTCAGTCACAATGGGGAGGGGGCACCGGTTACATCTACATCACATTATTTATAAAATAAGAATTACATTTTATATAACGTGGCCAGAAGGAGCTCTAGTTCCCCAGGAAAGCTGCCCGGGACAGCATTTGAGCCTCTTCTTTGCACAGGCATAACTTAACTATACAGCTAATTCCTAGTCAATAGCATTTATACTTAACCACCTCAATGAACCAAGCTTGAAGGAATTTAAAAGGCAATTTAGCTTAAATACAAAAATAAATTTTTGTTAAAAAATGTTTAAATATTTTTTTCTTTTAATTTAGACACACGCATTCATACTTCTCCCAAAGAGGTTGGGCATGGCAGCAAGGCTCTTGGGCCTGGGGTATGTGGTTTCAGAAGGAAGGAAGGAAAGGATGGGCTGCAGAGGAGGACCCTGTTTGGGAAAAACAGGATTTTAAAAATATGGTTCATTAATTTAGGTTTTCCAACATCTGCTTTGGGTGATGTAGCCTCCAGTGAGGTCAGGTAAGTGGGACAGAAGCAGCAGAGGGAAGAAGGGTCTTTGCTTCCCCGGGGCCCCATCCTCCCGGGCTGCCAGCCCTTGAAGTCAGAACACCATTGGAAAATTCAGGAGTCAGCACTTGTAGCCGTCAAGTGGTGCTACTTTCCACATTCAATTAGCGAGGCCCCAGAAAACTTGAAACAGGAAGTCCGGCACTACCAACATGCCGCCACTCATACAACTCAATTCTTCCTCCAAACTCGATTCAAAGAGCAATACACAGGGCGTCAGACAAAGGAACACAGGACAAGGCTTGAAACATACAATCCTGGAGAGGCAGACGAGGGCCCAATGGGGCCAAAGGGTGGCTGGGCGAGGAGGCAGCTGAAGCAGCGGTGGGCATCCTGCCTGCTCCAAGAGCTTCTCCCTCCTGGAGCGAGGTATCTCACCCCTGGCTCTGCCAGGCTAACAGTCTTGAGCCACCAAGCTTTGAGGGGCCAAACTGGCAGAGGGTTGGAGATGAAACATTGATTCAGGCTTGGCAGGAAGAAAATGGCAGGAGCAGCACCCACTGGGGTCTCCAAGGCAAAGCTAGATTCAAGGGCATTTAAAAAGGAATCAATCCTGCAAGGAACCGGTGAGGGACACAGCAGCAAGAAATGGGGAAACAGAGTCCCCAAAAGGGACCAAAGGAAGAGAACCACTTCTCACAGCTAAGCCAAGCAAGGTCAAGCCTTAGGGATAACCCATTTCCCAAATCCCATCAGGTGCACACCAGCGATCCAGGCGGGCTGGACCCTGCACCCTCCAGCGACGGCGGCTCTTGGGGAAAGGTGGAAGGGGCGCCTGTCTAAGGGCGTGCTAAGCGGGAGTCAGGGCAGCGGATGCTATGTACAGGTGTTTTCTTAGTTCTCCAGCCTCCCCAGTGGAACTGTTCAAGTAGAGGTCCCGGGCTTTGGCCCTCCGCATCCTGCTTCCCCATCCCTGAGGCCTGTGCTTCCTCCAGGAGAAGGGAAAGGGCCCCAGGGCTGCCACTACCCCCTGGCGGCTGAAGCCAGAGATCCGGGGTAGGTTTACTTTATGCAACTCGAAGGGTCAAAGGCTCTTCCCAGCAGGTGCCAAGGTCCAGATTGAGGGAAGGGGTGGGGGAAACAGGGACAGGGGACAAAGGCTATTTTTTGCGGTTGTGCTGCCTTCGGGCCTGCAGTCGCTGTCGAGCCCCAGGGGTCTTGGATCCCGCACCAATGGAAAATGAAGGGGCCGCCGATCCTGGAAAGATTCAACAAGACCTCATCAGGGCAGCTGCTACCTGAGACTCCGGCCCTGGGGGCCCCAATCTCTGGAAGGCTAGGCCAGTAACAAACACAGGGAGCCTCAATAGGGCTTTCCCCGCTGCATCACAAACACTGTACAGGAGGAGCCTCCTGAAATGCAAACTCCCAGAGGGTCTCAGAGCAAGGCCCACGAATCTATTTTTGCCTGGCTTCCCATGGGATGGCAAAGTTCCGCCCTGGATGGCTCCTCTCTGATCTCTGCCATCCAACTCCCATCCCCGGGCTGTGCGGGACTCCTAACCCGAATTGTCTTTCCTGTGCTGTACCTGATCTTCACCGGGCCTCAGAGGGCCGGGAGCCTGCCGCCCCACCCCAACCCTCCTCAGACAGAGGAGCAGGGCCACAGGGCAGCTTGCTGCTTACCAAACGGTCCAATGCCAACAAAGCCTTGGGCAGGTGCTGAGGATGCCCCAAAGGAGAGGCTGCTGCCTGATGTGCCCACTCCAGGCGCAGGGGTGTTCTGACCAAAGGTGGGAGTGGCGGTGCCTGGAGTGAAGAGAACAGAGAGCTGCAGAGAGCTGGCCAGTGAGCAGAGGGCGGAGGCAGGCGAGGAACCGGGCAGGAGCCTGCACTCTGCAGGGCACCTCCCACAGGGCCCTCAGCCCCATTCCTGCTCCTTGGGCATTCCTTTATCAGCAACTGAGCCAGACAACCGAGTCTTCATGCCGGGTGCCCCAGCTCAGCCTGCTTCTCCCACCTGCTAATGGCCAGGCTATGGCAGAGAAAAAGCCCCCCTGCCCCGCAGCCGCCTTGTGGGCCTCTGGACCACGCTGTAGAGGAGGACTCTGGGGCCCCCGCCTCCTAGTGTACCCGGGTTGGCCACCGCCTCTCTTCAGGCCTTTTCCCCCTAGCCACTGTCTCCTCCCCTCTGAAGCCTGCTCTGTCCACCCCTCATCTTTTGTGATGCCCCCTGGTGCCCTCCCCTCCCTGGCCTTGCCCTGACTGGCTCTGGCTGCCTGCCTGGTGCCCTCTCTGGCAGCCCCTGCTCTCAGGGCTTGGCCTCCGGCCCGGGCAAGGGGAGGCTCCCTGTGCTCCCACGCTGCTTCCACACAGTTTCTCTTCCTTCCCTAAATACCGTAACTCAAGTTCAGATCATCACTTTATTCTAATCCGCCGTGACCTTGTGTCACCTGTCAAATGCCAGGTCACTCCCCCATTCAGAGGACCCTTGGCTCACTGGCCTCCTCCCCATCACCACTTGTGGTGACCTCACCCTGTGAGGCTGACTGATAGTCCTCAGCCCCTCGACCTTGCCACCCCCATGACGTGGCATGACCTCTCCCTGACCTCTGCCACCATTCCTGTGGTCACACTGTCACCACAACTGCTCCGGCTCCTGAATCTCCTGCACGCACCACCCCTCCTGCATCTGACTTCACCTGCTCTCCACTCCTGCACCCGCTGAGCTGCATTGGGGTACTGACCCGCTGCGCCTCCTGCTTTGCTTGCTGGGGTCTCCACGGCAGGGTGGCACCAGCTGTCCACTGACCTTAGGTCTACACCCACAGTGTCGCTGGGAAACACACACCATGCTAACTGGCCTCACTTTAACTTCACAACCACCATTTTCCAGCCCACAAACTGCCTGGAAAGTGATTACACTTTTTAATATGATGTTCCTTTCCCCCACTGTCCAAAGTGACTATTTCGAAAGGCCCCTTTTTTATACACTTTATCCCGACCCTCTCTCCCAGATTTTCTCTCCTACTTCACAAAGAAAACAGAACCCATGAGGTCTACATTCATCTTCCACACAGGAGGAACCATCACTGCATCCTTCTGCCTGATTCTGCAGTGGTTTCCTGAACACTTAAGACCCCAACACCCAGCCCTGGCCACAAACAATCCTCTTGGCCTCCTTCCACACCACTGCCTCTGCTTTTCACCCTCCTGCCACGCTTGCCTTTGCTCTGCTCTTGAACATACCATATTTCTGCCTCTGGGCCTTTGCATGCACCATCCTGTGCCTGAAAAGCATGTCCACTTGTGCTGTGCCCACCCCCACCCCACCCTCATACTCAGCTTACTTTTTTTTGTTTTTTGAGACAATCTTGCTGTCACCCAGGCTGGAGTACAGTGACATGATCTTGGCTCACTGCAACCTCCACCTTCTGGGTTCAAACCATTCTTGTGCCTCAGCCTCCCGAGTAGCCAGGATTACAGGTGGGTACCACCACACCCGGCTAATTTTTTGGTATTTTTAGTAAAGACAGGGTTTCGCTAAGTTGCCCAGGCTGGTCTTGAACTGCTGGCCTCAAAAGATCCACCCTCCTTGGCCTCCCCCAAAATGTTGGGATTACAAGCGTGAGCCACTACACCCAACCCTCAGCTTACAATTGTTAATTACTCAGAAGGGCCTTCTTTGACCAGCTAAATCCACAACAGCTCCTCCAGTCCTTATTACATGTTAGCAAAACATGTATCATGCCCTGTCATTTCATTTAGTTCTATATTCAATGCCTGTCTCTTTACTGCCACATCAGGAGCTCCCTGAGAAGGCAAGCTGCACAGGCACAGCTCTTCAGTATCCGGCCTGGCAGCCCAAGTCCACACTCCTCCTTACCTCCAAACACAGGTTTGCTCTCAGGCGTGCTGCCCACGTTGAAGGCAAACGGTGTGCTCTGGCTGGTGGTGCCCAGGGCGTTCTGACCTAAGCCCCCTGAGAAGGGGGTGGAGGTGGCTGTGGTCCCACTCTGTCCTGCTCCGAAGCTGAAAGCTCCAGAGGTGGTGCTGGAGCCTGGGGTGGCC